GGAGGTCCTACCATCACAGAATCTACCTGCTCAAAGTGAAGAAGCTATGAGTTTGACTAGAATAGATGTGATAAATTCAGATTTATATTTTTTTTCAGATTTTATATAATTCAGATTTTAAGGATGTTATGTTTAGCACCAAAGAGCATTTGAATTTCATTACATTCACACCATGCTGCGGCAATAAAGTGCACACTGAGACACAAAGAACTGGCTAGCTAAGGATGGCAGCCAAACAAGGAGGGGGTGGGACTGGAGATTTCTCCCTTCCATCTCCTCCCCTCAGCAGCAGCAGCAGCTGCTTGCTTTCAGTCCTTCAGGAAAGCCACAAAGAGAGAGGCTGCTGCCTAGTGGTGGCAGAGAAAGGCAGAAAGCGTACTGCTGTCACAGTTCGCCACAGGACACTGGACAAGGCAGGATGGAGGCAAGGTCTCCTGGCTTCTTCCACCTCCGTCTCACATCCTCTTGGGCAGCAAATTTTGTGTGGGCAGCACTAGGGGAGGGCTGGCACTTTGGCCTGCAGTCAGCACTCAGATGACCCTCTCCTTTCTCTGTCAGCAGTGGGCTGGGTGGGGGCACAGGACCTGCCAGACCTGGCTCATGGGGCTCCTCCGGGCAAGCAGAGAGGTCCTCTAAAGTCTTTGTTAGTGAGGAGCCATCAGCATTAACCCAGTGAGTTTTCAGAAAAGGGTTAGAGTGATCATTACAACACTCCAACATACTCCTCTACAATCTGACAATAAATACAAAATTACCACTGATTAAGCTGGCACACGGCACAAATTCTAGACAACTGGTGAATATCAACCTGTGTGAGACGAAACTATAGAGCAGTATGACCAGATAGAAAAGTTACTTTAAAATCAAAGAAATACAGTGATACAAACAGAAACAACTCCTAAGGAGCGATAGATTGTAACCTTGGTTACAGTCCTGGTTACACCAGCTCCAGAGCGTTCTAAGTAGCCTGGAAATACAGGGCATCCTACCATGACTCCAAGCCAAAAAGCACTCTCCCAATCTGTAAACATGGGAGTAAGCATGGGGGAACAGGAAAGTAATGTTTTCTCTAGACATGCTACTACAACTCCACCTCTGTATTATGCATCACACTGATGTCTTAATTTTAAAAAGGATATAGAAAAAGAGGAGAGCTTAAAATGACACAGAAATTATCTGAGGACTGAGGGGAGGGGGAGAAATGTCCTGCATTGTAAGCCTTCTGCTGTGGTTCAGTGTCATTATAAATCTAGTTTACGATACCTCGGATCAAATAAAAAATGCTGTAGCTACCTGACACCACGTCCAAAGGCAGGACAAGTTAATTTCGCTGGTTTAAACCTGTTCCTAAATTTATGAAAAGGTAATTTTATCCTGACCAACCTCGTGTTAAATGAAGTATCATGTGTCTGCACCACTCCAACTCTGTGTCAGATCAGGTAATGTCTGTACCCCTGTCACTGGCATAAATCCACCACAAACCCACAAATTCAGTATAAACACCATAGCACATCCAGTAACTAATGCATCAGAAATATGATCATGTGTTCCTACATTAAGTCGATCAAACTGCTGCTGATAAAGGACATGACAGCTCCGTAACAAGTAAATCGGAACATGATCCAGTTGCCATGTAAGTGATATCATGGTAAGAAAATACTGAAGGATACCAAGGAGTGCTTTAAATTAGCACAGGGTGAGAAAGGGCAGGCACCACTGAGAGAAAATCAAGGCTAGCCAAATTTAAGCAAGGCATTTTAAACACACTTAAATAAAAGAGTTCAGAAAATAACACTACCAAAGAAAACGATGGAAACCGATGGATGTTTTTATCTTCTGGGATCTTCAGGTCCAGACTTGAAGTTACCCTGAAATATGTGCTTTAGGCAAACAGAAGCTACCGGCAACAACAACATGACAAAGAAAGACAGAATAGCTGGGCACAGTGGTCCTTGAAAAATTTGTTTCTCCGTTGTGGACTATATTGTCCTTCTGAGCACACCTCTACTAAAAACTACCCTTCCACTTGCATGTTTGGTATAGTAGATGAGACAAAATTAGGAACTAAAAAGCTTCCCTATGGAGAGAAAGAAGTCACAAAATCATGCAAAAATATACAAGGAAACTTTTCTCTATTTCATGCAAACATAAAGGAATGCTTAAGTAGAGATGTCAGATGATCCAGTACTTAAAATAGGAGTGGATTAACAAAATTTGTTTATAATTAGAAGTAGAACAGCTTTATTCACTTCAAAAATTTAAAGTCAGAAAATGTGAACGGCTACAGCCATTAAGTAAATGTAATTTTGTTATCAATTGATTGAATGTTTTACTCATTATCCCTGCAGTCAAATATAATCACAAAAGTATTTAAAACTGTTATTAGATTGTTTCTAGCAAAGATAATAAATGGAAAAGGAAAATCTAGATAAAGCCTGGCTGTTATGTCAAACCAGTGAACTTCTTTTCAAACACTGTGTGACAAAGAACCACCCTAATCCACTGTGACCCTCTGGAAATATGGTTAGCATAGAAAACATCATTTTATAAGGCAAACATCCATTATCCATAAGTGCATTGCACACACCCACCCCACACCCCCTTCTTTCTACCTGTTTTTCAACATTGTAATAAGACTGCTTGCCCACCAGTGTTGTCACCAGGACGTGGTGGCACTCGGTACAGAACAGGGAAGCCTAAGAGCCCATGTCCACTAACAGCCCTAACAGCTGCAAGTGGGCTTAGACTGGAGCTGATGTTGGATGGCAAAACCCGTGAATTCCTGATGGTCAGGGATGTTTCTACCATCATCCTCTTCTTCCGCCAAGGACTGAGTAGCTCATGTTTTAGTTTTTTTAGTTAAAGGCTGAGCCTAGATTACAGTATTGTGTCACATGCTGATTACTAAGAATTTGACCCAATCTGCAGAGGGTCCAAGTAACTTAAATGTCTAGGTAAATAAAAAAAATTCTAGAAAATAAGAAAGCTACTCAAATTCTGTTTAAGCTGTAAGCTATGCTAATTGCTGAAAAAAATCTGTGTGATGATAAACTGTCCCGCCTGCTAGAAATTGTGGATAACAATGCTATGATGATTGTTAAAGTTTTTATTTTATAATAAAACTCTAATTATAATCACAACCATGTGGAAATTGGTCTTTCTGCCAAGGATCCCTCAAACAACCTGCCTGTTCCCATAGTGTCAGGTGAAAACCAGAAAAACTCCTAATTTGGGATTTTGCTGCTCTTTGACATAACAATAGAGTATTAATATTTAATACAATATTAATATTACTTGATTTAGTAGAATCTTAGAATGGCTTGTGTGAGAAGGGGCTGCACACTGTAAGAACATTATTGGAGTAACATGCAGTATTAGAAAGAAAATTGTTATACAGACTTGGCTGAAGGGAGGGCTTTTATTTTTACAAGAGAAAAAGTATACTGCAGCAACAGATGAGAAGACTCCTGAATTATTTGAGAAAGAGAGTGTACGAAAACACAGTACTTCTGCCTAAGTCCAGCTCAAACTATCAGAAATTCTTGATAATAACAGAATACATTAAATCAAATTTTGTATAATTACATATAAATAATACATCTAGCTGGAAGTCAAATGTGTTATAGATGTGTTCTTCAGCTGACTCCTTCAGCAAAGACAATGTTAGGGATAATAAATATATCTTTAACATAGTCATGGCACTGTAAACCATTCTCTGTTTTATATTTACCTTCAACAGCCTGGAGTTTCTATCCCTAAACTATCTGTAGAGATACTGCAATTTGATTTTCAATATATTGATTTTGGTTGAGTTGCAAATAATAATTTCTGATCAAATATTACAAGAATATTTTCTATTTCTATGAAGAAAACTAAAAAAAAAAAATTGTGATATAAAAAATAGCAAAACAAGTCAGAAAAAGATTTGCCTCAAAAGTTATGTAGCTCTTTACTGTGCAAAGGCATAATGTTGTTCACATGCACTTGCCATTCATGAATAAAAGCTTTTTTTTTTTTCATAAACAGATAACTAAAAGTCAAATTCCTTATGAAAGAACTCCACAGAAAATCGAAGTGGAGCAGAAGATATATTCTGGTGATATACTCCAGAACCAAGTCCCACTGGCTGCAGAACTAAGTGGCAATTATAGAGCTCTGTCTCTTAAAAGTTATGAGCAACAGTGGATCAAAACTCTACTTTTTCTTTGAGCTCCTGATTAGTAAATACAGAATTAAGTAGAGTTACAGCATTCGTTGACTCTGAGATGACAAGGTTTCTAAAAAGAAAAGAAATCAGAAGAAAAAAAATATAAATTGCTACTTTGACAGTGAAGTAAGAATGACGAATTGAGCATAAATAACCAACTTTCCTGCTGTGGCACAGAAAGCCCGCAGTATCCCTGTCTCCCCTGCCCTGACGGCTCAGCCGTGCTCTCCCCTGCTCCCCGCGCTTCTGAGGGTTTGCCCTTGGCAATCCTCGAGCCTGTTCCCACGGCTGGATTTGGCGCCCGGCGCTGCTCCTGGCGCTGCACATGCGACGCTTCTGCTGCCCGAAATAAGCACTTCGCATGTGCCTTTACATAATATTTGGATTAGTTTTATCCAAACCTTTGCTCCAGCTTAGTGAAACGTCTTTTTTTCTTTATTCGTTTTTTTTTTCCCCCTTTTTTTTTTTTTTTTTTTTTTTTTAAGGGAACAATCGAGACCACACACCATCCATCCTCTCCCTTGACTCAAGCATCCGAGCACCACCTGTTCCTTCCCCCGGCTGCCGGGCTGGGGCGTAGATGCCCACCCGGCCGGCCCCTGCACTTCGAGGGGGGTCCAGGGACGCGGACCAGGGATCGCCAGCCTGACACGGGAGGCAGCGATGCTGCAGAGCCAGGACCTGCCCCGACCTCACCGCCCGCCCGGCTCCGGCTGCGCGCGTTCCCGCAGCTTCCCTCGGTTTATCGCTTCCCGCGGGGAGGCCGCGGCGGAGCCGTGCCCGGCGGCGGTACCTGTAGAAGTAGTGCCAGCAGAAGAGGCAGCAGAGGAGGCGGCAGCCGAGCGGCTCGAGGCGGGGCGGGCTGCGCAGCGCCAGCAGCAGCGCGGGCACCAGGAAGGAGGGAAGCTCCTGCAGGAACCAGGCGCAGCGAGCGGGCAGCCGGCCCCGCGGCCGGCACAGCCGCTCCTCGTGCTTCCCGTAGCGGGACGGCACCCGCAGGTACAGCGAGAGCTGCAGCAGCGCCAGGGCGCCCAGCAGCGAGCTCAGGGCCAGCACCAGCCCGGGGAAGCACTGCATGCTCGGGGGCGGGCGGGGGCAAACAGCCCTCGGCCAGCGCCAGCCACGGCCTTATTAGAGCCGCGGCCGTCACCCCGCCCCGCCGCGCTGCCTCCCATCGCCCGGGCTCGTCAGAGGGCGCAGCCCCTCGGGCCGGCGCGGCGAGGCGCCCCGGCCCGCCGGGAGGGGAGCTGCCCCCCCCGCTCCATCCCTCCCTCCTTCCATCCCTCCATCCTTCCATCCCTCCATCCTTCCATCCCTCCAACCCTCCATCCATCCATCTCTCCATCCCTCCATCCCTCTACCCCTCCATCTCTACATCCCTCTATCCCTACATCCATCCATCCCACCTGTCCGGCCCGGAGGGGAGCTGCCGCCCCCCCTAAAAAAAACATCCCCCCCGTCTCACCCGGAGCGGAGCTGCCCCGCTCCATCCATCCCACCCGTTTCGCCCAGAGGGTGGATGCTCCCCTCCATTCATCCCACCCGTCTCTCCCGGAGGTAAGCTGTTCCTCTCCATCTCTTTTCCCGTTTCGCCCGGAGGAGAGCTGTCCCCTGTCCCCCTCTCTTCCTCCCTCCCGTCCCCCACACCGACGGGGCCCTCGCTGGCCCCTCCTTTCTGCGGCCCGGTTCGGCCCGGGGGTGGCGGCGGTGGAGGGAGGAAGGAGGGTCGGGGGCGACACGGTCGGCACCAGGCAGAGGCGAGCCGGCGCTGGGGCGGAGGTGTGCGGGGGTGACTCCCCCGGGCGGCAATCGCTCCCAGCGAGGTGGGAGCGAGTGGTGCAGTTCCCTTCCCGCTGCCCCGGTGTGTCACCCTGCCCCGCGACTTGCCTGGCGATCTGTGCTGCAAGGGCTGAGCAGCCGCCTGGTACCAGGGAGTGCCGCTCCACTGAGGGCACGTAGAGAGTAAAGGAGACGTGCCAAAGGTCAGGTGAAAATAAACAAATGTAGATATGTCCGTGGTAGAACGAGAGAAAGCCAGTGAGTGCAAAACTTGCAAGTCTGACAAGTCCAGCTCATATTTAGCATAACCAGAGCATGCTTAAACTTTTTGAGTGCCCCAAGTTTTAGAGAAGGTGGTCCTAATGCAAGTGTGCTGCGGTGTGCTCAGAAACCCTTTGGTTTCAACTGCATAAAGTAGTTTAGACAACAGTTTGCCTAAAACTACAGTCCAGGAATTAGGCTTTTGCTTGCCTGTTTCCCCAGAGATCTTTGTTTGGTAAGGATTATCAGGGTGCTGAATTACTGCATAAGGACTAACAGAACATTAAACTTTGTATTGTTACTGGCCTCAGCACATCACCCTAAGGCCATAAATTACAGTTGCATCCATGTCATTTTGCAGCTTCATTGAGAAAGCAGTTGGATGCAGCTCCACAAAGATTGGACATCACACAAAATGCTCTTCTGGAGCATAGGTGGTAATTGATTTTAATCCAGGGTCTGAGTGGTGAATGCACTGATTTAGGATGTGGGAGACTCGGGTTCAATTGTCTCCTCTGTTTACAGGGATTCTCTTCCTGCAGAGGGAGACCAAACCATCGGCTGTAGCTTATCCTGTAGTCCAGGAGGCACTTGTTCTGTTGTGTTGGCTATTCCATGGGACAGCTACTTAGAGGAGCAGAGTTCTACCTTATCCTTGCAGAGTGCTGTAGTCACTGAGATCATGTTTGCTGCAGTAAGTAAAACAGGTCAAGGTTTTTTTGGCCTCGGAGATGTGTGACATACTATGGCTGTCAACCACATGCCAGAGCACTCTTCTCTCACAGAAGATGCACGTGGGCATGCAGGCTGCTTGCTGGATGCAGTCTGGTACATGCTGTCTCGCAGCTGTGAAGGAGAGAGGGCTGGACCAGAGCTGTGCCAGGTATGCCAGCCATAAAATATATAGATGATCACAAGCTGGTGGCATTGGCACCGGTGTTCAAGCAGTAGTTCCTGGCTGTGTACCATCAGTGGAAAAGGTGCCCGTAGGGCAGATTTTAGAAATCTGCATCTGTATCTGAATTAGGAAGAAGTGCAGTCTAAAACAAATGTCTCTGTAGCAAAACAGCTGAATATGAGAACCTGTCAACCATAATATGCATGTTTCATAGGGATTACTTCAAACTCTCTCTAGTCTGATCCCATGAGTTGAAGACATCAGCAATAGGGGCATTTTTGGAGTGCTCTTCTGGCATAGTTTCATCTGAAGGAGAACCAGTGACAAACTCAGAGTGTTTCACAAAGCATATCAAAGCTCAGTAGTTAGTTGGGAATGACTGTGGGAATGACTTCAAAAGAATGGTTTGGATTCAAACTAAAACCCTGAAGGAGTCACAGCATAAGAACCAGAGAGGGGTGTGATCTCAAACGCAGCACCGGTAGCTTGAGGCAGTCCCCTGCTCGTCGTCCTGGTTGGTTGCTTTCAAGCTGAAGGGGTCTAGTTCTGCTTATTTACAGGGGAAGACAAATGGGGTGGAAATGCTTCTAATGGTAAAAAAATGAGCTGGTCACAAAGAAACCATTTCCAGTCCATGGAGTAAAGGAGGCACTTTTAAGGAGAAATTGATCTCATACAATGAGGTAATAAAACAGATCAATGAATCATAATGTAGAAAAGCTTAATTCTCTCCATTGGCTCTAAAAGATGTCTAGACGAATGCGTCAGAAGAACTGAATCCCACTCTTGCTCCTTAAATTAGAGTTCTGAAGAAATTTCTGTGGACAGGCACTCCTCTAAGCTAAGAACTCCAGCATTTATGTTCACTGTTAGAAACAAACACTGCATAATTATTCATCATATTCAACCACTGCACAAGTCTTCACCCAATAATTCCTTCTTCTTGCCTAAGCACCACATCAGGGATTGTGATAAGAAAGGTGAAAGCTGTGCTGCAAAAGCATTCTTTGTATTCATCACTGGGTTCTGAGAAGGTGGCAAGGTGCAGCATTGAAAGTGTGGTTTGTATGGGATCACCAAAACTTTTATTTTAAACCAACCTTTATTTTTTTTCCATGGGAGTGTTTCACCAGCCCAAAGGACTACTAGGTAGTAATGAATCTTGCCTTGAGATTATCTCAGGCCAGCAGTGATCAAGCTACAAGACAGAGACCATTTAATTCAGATTTTTCTGTATTTTTCTGAATTTTCAGGCTTTTTATGTCTCAACAGTGAATAATCCAGTGGGAGTGTTTGTTGAAAAAAATATTTCAACAATAAAGCTTTTGCAGGCCTGCTGAATTTGAAGGGAGTGGAGAAAAAATGTACAGGCTAAGCCCTGTTTGCATATCTGATAAGACTTCAGAACTCTTGGTTTATTTTACTTTGAAGAGAAAAATCCAACTCTTCTGAAGAATTGAATTGTACAAAATATATGGCAGGTACAAAATTACATATGTCATAAGTATAAATTTATAAATAGGAATCATTAAACCACAACACAGTTGCACACGTATAATCTTTAGGAAGGATTTAGGATTAAGTTTTGAATGAGAACACCCAATAAAATGAACAGTTGCATAAGATAGTTCCTTAGATCTCCCAGAAGTTATATTTGCACTGCTGCAATTTCGAACACCTCTTTTCAGTGCTGGCAGGAATGTAGCTAGACTGAAGTTAGGAAACATCGGGAATCAGCAATTTACTGTTTGTTTTGCATTATATGTATCCTGTGCTGAATAAGGAACTGTCTATTTTCTCATGGTTCATTCTGCTATTCTCATAAAATTTTTAATTCTGCAAAAGCACAGAGTTAATAATCCAATACAATAATAATCCAATATTTCCTTCTCAGTCAGAAGTAGACTTTTACTACTTATCAGAAATTGTCATCCACTGACATTAGAAGCTTCATGGCTGTCACTTTGCATCACATGTTAAATCCAGCAGGTGAAATTTAAAATATTTTTTAAGAAGAGAAAATTATTTTCATTTTCCTTCAGTCAAAGATGTTGATGCATAGGAAGAGCAGGAACAGAACAACATATGGTTAATAAAACTATCTTTGTAAGGGTCTCTGTGTTAATAAGCAAATGTAGAAAAGCAATTAAAACAGCAGAAGTGGGCATTAACTTGGCTTGTGAAATTTGATAAGCTGCTGCTGTTTGTACTCCTAACACTGACAGAAGTGTGAGAATAGGTTTTGAGGAAGACAGGGCAGATTACTTCAGGGTGTGCGAAGTAGGAGGAATAATTCACTTACAGGATTAACTTTAACCTAGTGCACATGGGTTTGCAACAAGTTATTTTTAATGGTGTGTTCACATCGTTACCGGTATGAATATAAAAATATAAAACCTATGACAAACAAAGCCCACAAGCGATAGGTAGAGGCTGAATATTTTAAAGCTGATTTTCCTTTTACTTCAGATTTTCTTGAACAGTATCTATATAAATCAGCCACAAGAGCGGAATCTGACCCTCAGTTTTTTCCTTTAATTAGTCTTTTATCTGGTGACACTCTTGCTGTGTTGTCTGATTTTCACATTCTGATTTGTGAGAACACAGTTCTTTCAGCAGAGAAGGACAGTACCTTTACACCCACATTGCCCCACTTATTAATTCTAGCCACTCTATTAAAAGAAGATGAGGAAACACACTGAGGTTAACTGTCTGAGCTCATTGAAGCTGAGCCAGAGAATCACAGAATGAAAAGCAGGGGGAGCTTGAGGAGCACAAGAGAATCTTCCTCATCTGGTGTCTGGTATAAAGCCCACTGAGCCCACAGAACTGCAGTTTCTGTGCTCACCAGAAGCTGGGACATTGTCCTTGCAGATGGTTTCTCCGGGGAAATTAGCTATAAACTCTAAGATGTTTCTCCTGATCATTGTAAACCACATATTTTCAAAGACTTCTTTCTTAATATGTCCCAGATGGGAAGGCCACCTCCTGACAAATTTCATTAATTTAATGCTCCAAAGCTTGGGGGTGCTAGAGCAGCTCAAAGAAACCATCACTATTTTTTTAAAATATGGTTAGTTATTTACTCTTCAGAAACAGTTGAATTGTTGGCTGACCTTTTCCAAAAACTTTGAGCAGGCATCAAGCTTGGAAAATGGCAGGTTAGAGCTGGCAACGTTATAAACAATGTAATATGCGGCCTAACTATGGGAAATACATCCTTAATGATTTTTCATG